ATTTAAATTGAATGTACTTTGGAAGTTAATGAAATTTCTCATCAAGTTTTCAATATTGAATCTTGCAATGTGTGACATGGAAGATTAGGACATATAAGTCTAAAGAAAATCAAAAGGATGATGGATCTCAATCTTATTCCTAAATCTCATGTAGATTTCAAACATAAGTGTGAAATTTGTGTACAAGCCAAACAAACTAGAAAACCTCATAAAAGCGTGAAAGAAATACACAACTTTTAGAACTTATACATAGTGATGTATGTGATTCTAGTAGACCGCCAACAAGAGTCGAAAATAAATATTTTGTGACTTTCATAGATGATTGTTCTAAATATTATTATATTTATCTTATCAAGAACAAAGATGAAGTATTTAATAAGTTTAAGATATATAAAAATGAGGTTGAAAATCAATTAGAGAGAAAAGTGAAAAGATTAAGGTCCGATAGAGGTGGTGAATATACTCTAACCGACCTTAGTACATTTTGTGAAGAACATGGAATAATACATGAAGTGACTCCTCCTTATTCTCCTCAATCAAATGGGGTAGCTGAAAGAAAGAATAGAACTTTAATGGATATGGTAAATTCAATGTTGACTAGTTCCGGCTTATTGATAATTTGTGGGGGGAAGCTATACTTAGTGCTTGTTTCATCTTGAATAGAGTATATGTTAAAGATAATGAGATAATTCCATATGAGATATGGAAGGGAAGAGTTCCTAACCTTAGTATCATGAAAATGTGGGGGTGCTTAGCTAAGGTAGCTATTCCTAAACCAAAGAGAAAGAAAATAGGTCTTAAGACCGTAGACACCGTCTTTATAGGATATGCCCAAAATAGTAGTGCTAATAGATTCTTAGTTATTAACTCAGAAATTAGTAGAATTTTAAAAAATACTATAATTGAATCTAGAGATGCTACATTTTTTGAAGATATTTTTCTTTTAAAAATACAATGCCTAGTCAAGTAAGAGAAACACCTTCAACTAGTGATCAACCTTCTACTAGTTCTATTGCTCCAATAGAGAAAAATATAGAACAACATGTAGAGGTAAGGAGAAGTAAAAGACCAAGAATAGAGAAGGACTTAGGAGAAAGATTTTTTACTTTTCTAGTAGAAGGAGAGCCAACGACATATAAAGAAGCTATGTCTTCTATAGATGCATCTTTTTGGAAGGAGGGTATTAATAGTGAAATTGAATCTATATTACTTAATAATATTTAGGAGATAGTAGAATTGCCTCCTAGAAGCAAAGCTATTGGGTATAAGTGGGTATTTAAGAAGAAACTAAAACCTGATGGAAGTATAGATAAATATAAAACTAGATTGGTGGCTAAAGGATTTACTCAAAAGAAAGGGATAGATTATTTTGATACATACTCGCATGTGACTAGTATTACTACCATTAGAATACTAGTAGCCCTAGCATCTATCCATAACTTAGTAATACATCAAATGAATGTTAAAACCATTTTTCTAAATAGGAATTTAGATGAAGAGATATAAGTTAGTAAAGTCTTTATATGACCTTAAACAAGCTCCCAAACAGTGGCATGAGAAGTTTGATAAAGTAATTCTAGAGTATGGTTTTCAAATTAATGAAAGTGATAAATGTTTATACTATAAGGATAGTGATGTTGGTTGTGTGATTTTATGTCTCTATGTAGATGATATACTAATTTTTAGGACAAATTTGGAGGTCGTTAATGATGTTAAATCTTATTTATCTAGTAAGTTTGATATGAAAGATTTGGAAGAAGCCTATGTAGTCTTGGGAATGAAAATAGAGAAAACATCAAATGAAATATCTCTAAGTCAGTCTAGCACCATAGAGAAAATGTTGAAAAAATTTGGTTTCTATGATAGTAAGTCTGTATCAACACCATATGATCCTCATGTACATTTGAAGAAAAATAAAGGAGAACCGATTTTATAATTGAAGTACTCACAAATGATTGGATCTTTATTATACATAACAAATAAGTCTAGACCTGATATCTCGTATGCCGTAGGGAGACTAAGTAGATATACACATAGTCCGAGTAAAAAGGATTGGATTGCCTTAGAAAGAGTTTTTAGGTATCTTAAAGGAACCTTAGACTACTCTTTATGTTATAGTGGATTTCCTAGTGTAGTTGAGGGCTTTAGTGATGCAAATTGGATCACCGATAGTTTAGATATAAAATCCACTACTGACTATGTTTTTCTGTTAGGAGGAACAACCATATCTTGGGGATCTAAAAAACAAACCCTAATATCAAGAAGTACTATGGAGTCAGAACTTATAGCCTTAGATACCACATGTGCTGAGACTGAGTGGATAAATAATTTATTACTAGAGATACCTCTAGTGGAAAAATTCATACCTGCCATTTCATTACACTGTGATAGTAAGGCAGTGATTGAGCTTGTGAAACAAAATCATAATAATAAAAAGATGAATAGACATATACAAGTGAGATATAAATCAATAAAGAAAATGCTGAGTAAAAGCATAATCTCACTAGACTTTGTGAAGTCTGAGCTTAATATAGCTGATCAGCTAACTAAAGGGTTTTCGAGGAAAGCTGTCTCAGAACTGTCGAGGGGGATGAGCTTAAGCCCACAAGGGAGTCACCTAGGGAGGTAACCCAACTTCTGTGATTGGGGACCCCATGAAAGAAGTTCAATGGGTAGAAACAATCCATACTGCGTGATTCATTAGCACTGTTATTTAGGAAATATCCAAGGAGAGATATTTTCCTGCTCATCCCTATGTCAGAAGTGTATATGTAGTGTGACGGTAAGGAAGGGTTTTACCCTGAATGAGACCAAGACAGGAACACTCCTGCAGGGTATTGTGCACATGTACCCTTGGAGAGCTCACCTAAGTGAGAGTAGTCATGAGGCCGCGCCTATGAGAATTGAGTTATTCTCTAGAAACTCTCATGAGAATCAAGATCAAGTGCAAGACTTTTAATAGCACTGACCTGCGAATCTTGACCAATATCGGTACTGTGTGTGTGACATGTTGAACTCTGGTCCAAAGGATCTAATTCAAGGCTTTGGTCACTATGATCCTTCAGAGAAAAACTGTTAATACTAAGTGAGATTCAAGTCTAGAAGACACCTACACCTATTGCACAGTATAATAGTTGCCCATATTTTCTATATATAAAATATTTGAAATATTTGTAAGAATAAAATTAAGTTTTTAAAACTTTTAAATTTTCATTTTAATTATGTTTAAATTATAATTTTTAGTTACAAGTTTTTTGATCATATTTAGTGTGTATATTAAAGAATAATTTTTATTGACCTTAAATTTGATTTTATAGCTATTCATGCCAAATAATCAAATTCATTGAAAATATATCATTGTAGGTTACAAATCATTGAAAAGTCAGCATGTGCCAAGTTATTGAAAGCCATTGAAAACCATAGAAAATATATCAGGTGCCAAACGGCTAAAAGGAAAAAAAAATTGAATAGTTCATGTGTACGTTATACATATAATTCACTATATAAAAGGTTACTGAGATAGTTTCTGTGAAGATAATGAAAATTCACTCCACAATCTTTCAATAGCCTTTTTTTTGATACTTGACATACTTTTCAATTCTCCTCCATTATTTTATTTTTGGGGTAACTAAATTCGAGTCAGATTTACTTCAACCTTCCAGTGGACGTAACCATTGAGAAGGTGTTGTTGCGAGCGTGTAGGTTGGATCTTGGAGTCGCTGGTGTCCGTCAGTACCCTCACGTGGGGAGGCTTACCTGCTTTAGGACAGTGATCACACGCTTCTCGGACTTGCAGACCAACTCATTTAAAATCTATTTATTTGGTTTATATAGATTGCATGTTTATATATTTCATGTATTTATTTAAATTGCATGTTATATGATCTAAATATTATTTGCATGTTTTATTTCGAGTTTTAGATTACAACACTCATAATTATATTGCTCACATCATAATTATAATAATTGTTGATTTGGCCAAAAGTTGAATAACAATTTTTATTAATTTCAATTATAAATATATGCTTAAAATCTATAATTATTTTTCCAACAACTTCCACCGCAGGAATTTGTATAAGATGTGTACTCGGAGGAAAGACAGCATCAATGACAATGTTGTTGAAATCAAGGAAAGCTTTCTTTCTTTTAGGAAGTGACTCCCAACCCCCAACAATCTCCATCAAATGGATTTTGATTCCATACGGAGTTTTTGATGCGAAAGACCCTTTATGTTTTGGAGTGGTCATATCATATGAAAAAGAAGGTGTTGTGATGAAATCTCTCTCTCTCTCTCTCTCTCATGCACATACAGAGCAGTGTGAATTGCGAAGGTTCTTTAACGCGCCCAATCTACTACTTTTTTAAAGGATGATCTAATTAATTCTTTAAGGGAAGGGAAGGGAAGGATAAAGCAAAACGATTGATAGTTGACCCAGGTCAAGTTTGGGCGTGGATGACTTCTTAATAACTCGGATAAATTCACTTGTTACAGACAAAAGCACCAAGCATTGCAGCAAAACAAATCAATAACAACCCACCGAGGCAAGTGTTGATAGTTGAAGGAGAAGAACACACTTGAAGAAAAAACTGATTGCTAGAAAAATACAGACCTACAAAAGAAATAGACACTGGTAATTTGAATCTACCTATACAGTTGATTTACCAAAAGTGAATTTCGTTTAATATTAAAACTCACAATTAATTTAATAGCCAAAATACATGGGTCCTTACATTAGATCTTCAAATTACTCTCTCTCTCTCTCTCACACACACACACACACACCCACCCACCCCTCTTGACAGTCTTACATGTATATTGTTGGTTAGAGCAATCTCAGAAGACAAAGCAGTGGTTGGACTAGCAACCTCTAAAATTAACCCGAACAGCTTTATGGCCACCGAGTGTTTAAGGTTTCCAATTATCCTTTCTTCTCTTGAGCAGCCACAATCACCATTGACATAAATGGAGGTCTACTTTACAGTTTGCCTTTCACACACCGTTAGGGGCTTTCGGTCTTGTCTCCTACTTCATAACGATTTTTAGTAGCACTCAACCCTGATGAATGTAGCTGCTTTCGCCTCTTCACTAGATGTAATGCAGTTTGCCTGTCATCCTGTGCCTCCACAGACTCAGACTGCATGCAGCAATTAAAACTTGTTACACTAGTTCAAAAATTGCTAAATCAACGGTATAGGAAGATTCTTGGATGATCAAATTCCTAACTAGTAAGCACCTTTCTAGGTGTACATTATATGCATCTTTGGGCACAGAACTGGGAGCTGATGGTTATTGGTCATACTAGATACCCAAGCAAACAAGACTAGTGTGACCATAGATCATATTATGTCGACCAGCTGATGCTAAAAAAGCTAGAATAGTAAACAAAAGGTATGCTCATCTGATCAGGTTCATATTTTGGCCAGAAAATCTTCTTTGGGCTCTAGTAGTAATGGCATATAATTAACCGTCCCAAAAATGTGTATATGACCCCAAAACAGTTCTTGCTTAGAAAACAATGTTGCGGATATGCTTGAAGCAGTACCTTAATAGCTAACGCTCTGTCAAAGCTTTCCATGGCCTTATCGGGCTCCCCAAAGTTCAACTGTGCTCTACCAAGGGTGATCCAGGCCTGAAAAAGACCCATTCTATCAGCAATAGAAAATGTCCTCAGAAAAAAAAAATAAAAAAAATAATGAACTAGCTTCCTAAAAGTTCACAAAGATTGCCAAGAAATCATAAATGAATGAAGTAGTTCAGTAAAATATGAGATAAAATATTGACTGAAAGGGGGAGAAGGGGGATTACTATGGAGTGTTTGGTAAAAGCTTCATCCCCTTCTACCCTTATTTCTAAGGTGGATTAGGGATTTCCATCTAAAGATTTTGATTTGATCTTATGTGGTTTGCCTCTGATTTTTAAAACTATTTCTGTTTCTCAATAGGAAGATTGGGCTTTCTGCGAGCACCAGATGTTGACCTAATGGCAGATTTGATTATCCAAATCCGTCCCTCTTAGGAAAATTCATTTCCCATGAAGCAGCAGAGGACAATCTTCAATCCTGCTCCTCCGTCTTGCTTTCCTATAATTCTTATTAGGGAACAAGAACAATAAGCGGTGCAAAAACAATTACCAGACAAAAGTATTTTCCACCATGAACTGGAAGAGGTACCAATCAACATTCTGAGCCATATGCAAATGTATGCCCAAATTATGTTTAAGAGCAACATCACAAAGTACTGAAAGAAAAGAAAGGGGCTCAAACACAGGAAACCAGTGCAATATACTTAGCAGTTAACATGTGGAAGTATGGAAATTGAATGTAGAGGCAGAAGAGATCCATAGAATAAAGTATTAACAAACCTCAGCCCATGATGGCTCCAATTCAGCAGCTCCTGCCAAGTAAGTACAAAATATGAATAGAATGATCTTAACAACAGTACACAACAAACAAGCAAAATGCCCATTATACAATACAAAGCCAATATTTTCTATTATTATGCAAAGTTAGCAGAATATTTTAAAGGAACAGAAAACACATAGAAAGGGCATTAGGTACTCATTGTCATGGTACAACAGAATTTTATAGGAACAAACAACTAAGACCTGGTTAAATGAGTGAAGCAATGCATCAGCAATATTTACAATATTCAGCATGTCAGAGAAGTTTTTAGTAGAAAGGATCAGAAACACACGAGTTGCAGCCTTCAAAGCATTCCATGCCTCTCCAATTTCAAGTAAAAGTTGAGCCTTTTGTTCATGTAAAACTGCTCTGTCTGGCGTCAAAGTAAGAGCAGCTTCCCACTTCCCAAGCGCTTCACGATATTTCCCATCCTTTAAAAAAGAAAAGTGCTATAAGGAAAATAGACAAAAATCATGGAGATTTAAACTTACAGATACGGAAAAAGAAATTAAGATTCAAAATATATAACAGATTAAAAAGGTATAAAATGATGCACAAATGATTGCTTTAGCAAATCCAAAAGTTTCTATGACGTTTAAGATTTTGCTTATTTCCATTTTCAAGGCCCTTCTCCCAGAAAACATGATTTTCAGACACCTTAACCTAAATCTACTGATGGCAGTAGAACATAGAAATAGAGAAAAGTAATAAGGTTGCACATAGGTATTCCTACAAAATGAGAAATGAGATTCTCAAGCAAACTACAATAATATTTTCTTTATTAACAACCAAGCAATTATTTTTAGCAGAATAATGTTGCTGCAAACCATGTTAGTGCCCAGGCATGTTACAAGTGAACTAACAGTTATCAAGACAGTCCAAACTCATGACTACAAACTTCCCAATATAGCGACTGTAACTGAAATACTGATCTATAAGACTATAACTTTACAAAACTAGAATGCATGTTTCCATTTGGTGTAAAGAATCCTTGAACAACCAATGGCGCCATAATCACGTAGGCAAAAAAGAAACTACTGGGTTGGTGGAACTTGGGTTCACTTCTTATTGTTCCCAAGGAAACAAAAAATGGGTCCACCCAACTTACCTCCCTAATAAAAACACCAAAATGCAGTTCACAACCTCAATTATTCCGACCATTTTAGGAGGCAAGCAACAGAATCCCATTTTGCATTTAATTGCATTGACGGTAACATATCCACTTTTAAATTTGTCTATGTATCTGATTTCCACAAGAATAAGGTCTAATTGTGCTGAGTCGCATACCATCAATGTTATATAACTTGAAGGAAAGCAACATAGTGCTTGGAACAAGTTAGATCGAGTTGTGGACAATTCTGTTGTTTTTACGACGGAGTGGCATTTTCAAATTATCAAATGATTCTAATGGCAAAGACAATTCTCCTGACATCGGGAGTCTACTTAGGCTAATATGTGTTAACATACTAAAGAGGGGGCATGTCACAAAGAATTGGAAACAACTAACTACTAGAAATTTCTGTTGAGTCTAAGTTACTCATCTACCACTTGGTACTTTGGATGAATTGTGATGCAGCAACACAGCCACCAGTTCATCATGTTCAAATCTTTGTACACATACTAGACTGAGTGAAGGTGAAGCCAGTGAAGTTGGACAACCCTTCTGGGATGTTGTTTTTTCAGGTCAAATGAAAGAAAATTTGAATTTCCAAATTCTCAACTCAGGACCAGTTTTGGACAACCCAACTTTTATGTATTTAACATGAATCTCGACTGTATTTCAAATCGTTTGTTGTCACAAAAATTCCAACCAACCTTCTCTGAATTCAACCCAGATTTGTTTTAAACTCACTTTTGTATAAATCCTACTCAATTGCCCAATGCAAGTTGAGATCTTTTAGTCATAGGCTCATTTATCTTCAGTTTGTGTTTCAATATTCAGCATTGTAACCATTACTCCATGCATTACCATTACCAAATTAAGAAAAACACGTAAAACATATTCCCCATGCATAAATGCCAACTTCATATCCAGAAAAGATTAGGTAAAGTTATTAAAGAACAACTAGAATAAACAACAAACCTCATCTCCATAACACACATAATCAACAGTCAAATACTCTCAGCAAACAATTCTAAGGGAAAAAAATAAGGGGTTTTAAGTATACCCACTAAGGAATGTGCTAAACACCAAATAAAACCCAATCAACAAATAACAAATATATGAATAGCATCAAACTGAAAAGCTCTTTTCTTAAACTTTTGGAGCATATGAAAAAAAAACCCATGTGGCAAAAAAAAAAAAAAGACTCGAAATTACCTCAGCGAGCTTGTTTCCTTGCTTGAAAGTCCTCAGCGAGCTGGGTAGTCTCATCTTTTTCAGAAGCCAAGGTTTTTCGCTGTACGTCGCCGTTTTGAGTGAATTGCTCTGGGCGGCTCCGCCCATCATCAATTTTGTGTCGTTCTACGTTGTTTTCATTTGTGTTGGTGTCGTGGGTTTTTCATCTCTCGATCGAAAGGGAGGTTTGAGTACTGAGATATAGGTCGCTTCTGTTCTGGTTCGTGCTTTGATTCTTCCACGTTAATTTCATCTTCTCTGGTGTTTGTTCTTCTTCAAGCTCGCTGTTCGGATCTTCTGGAGTTGGGGGTATTTAATTTACACCAAACTCCGTGCCACTGGATCAAGATATAAAGGCATTAAAACGGCACCGTCACCCACATCAAATTC